AAAAAAAAAAAAAAAAAACAAAACAAAACTAATAATAATTAAGGCTGGGAAGAGACGGGTTGGGTTGCCTGTAAGGTTCGTGTCTGAGACAGTAGTGTGGCACTTTTCTTTTTTTTCAGATCGGGTACAGGATAGAGACGGATGTATCTAAATAGAAAAGAGTAGTAATTGATACAGGATTTCAGAATTGGTGCTTTTGTGAATATACCTAATTAAGGATGCTCGGTATTCATGTATGAGATACAAGAAGGAGAGGGAACTCAAGTCAAGTAAAAAACAAATGACAGTAGCTGATCAAGCAAAAAGAATAGCAAATATCATTACTAGTTGTAGATAGAAAGAAAAGCTGAGAGAACGTGCCATCCTGCACAGTTAATGCATGCAGGTATACAGGCACAGGAATGCTGTCTGGCGGTGTGATCAGCAAGCAGATATGACGTGGGTATGTATAGTGTAAATTTAGACAAGATAGGAGGCAATCGTACAAGGTATCGGCATAGGTAAATACACACCTCATACCAGATACAAATGTGGACAAGAGGACCAAGTGCTCTGTAGTAGAAATACCACACAGAAATCCAAAGGGTTTTGATATTGTACTCTCTACTCCTTACCATGGATGAAATAAAATACGTATGGATCGATATTAAACTGCGAGAGCACATGCCCCTTTGACCCGAGGCATGCCTGCTTATAATTGATGCTGTGGGATCAAACCCTCGAGGCTCAAGCCCTAAAACAGTTCCGTCTAAATCCCTCCCCCGACCCAACCAACATAGTACTGGTTCATCGCATCTGCATATTATTGACCGACCACTCCCGAGCCGACTAGGGCAAACTAACCTCGTGTAATTTAAGCTATACGTATCCTGTACGGCTATCCCAGGGCAGTACTACGTACAACAGTCCACTGTAAGGCGTGTTTACCACCCTTCTGGATATGACACTACTGGCGCTAGCCATCGGAATAGACCCTGACCACAGCCATCCTATTCCTTCCATGGACAGATGCACTACAGATCGGAGGTTCAAAGCTGAAAGGTCGGAAATACTAGTATGCAGACAGGGTTAAGGACACAACAGGCAAATAAGTAGATAATCTGGGAAGAGGGTCTTGATTTTTTCTTTTCTTTGCTTTCTTTTTCTTTCTTGGGGAAAAAAGAAAAGGGAAGAAGAAGAAGAAGGATAGGAAGAATAATAATAATAACCCAATTCCCTGCACGACCGCATTAGAAACAAAAACAGCATTACTAACTCTTACCAGTACTACTACTCCGTAACTTGCTAACGCACTTGGATCCGCTCGGACAGGCATAGAGTTCAACCAGGCAGGGAAGTTGGGTCTAGTCAGGACGCTAGACAATGACATTAATGGGCCAGTGGAGAGACGTTGGAGTGGGTCAGCATCTTTAAGCGAATGATGATCCGGTGCCTGACAGTCCGACTGTATTGCTGGGTACTAGTACTTCCTTTCCTCGGAACTTCTCAATAAGACTAGTGCCTGGCAAGTGGCTTATGCAGTAATATACTGTATGACAGTGTTTGAATTGTTATTCTTGCAAACACATACTCCGTACATGCAGCCAGTAAGAAGTTGAAAGTTTGAAGGGTGTTGAAGACCTCTGTGGAGGACAAGGGAAGAGAAAGTCGGCATATCCTCCGCAGGTTGTTTTAAGTGTTTGATGTACAATTAATTGTATGGCTTTATTAGATATATATTTCTTGGCTCATATCTAGATGCTAGATAGATAGATCATTGTGCCCATCCGTTATGATCTCCATGTAGTAGTAGGCAGGATCCATTCCTATTTCTATCATCTTTATCCATCGTCACTAGTTGCCTATGTTTAATCTAACAAGCCTCAATTATCTACCGTCGATACTTACCCAACGGGAAGCACCGTGTGGGATTGCTCGTGGCTGACTGGCATAATTGTTTTTCGTTTCCAGTCTCACGATCCCTTGCCTACAAGGAGCTGACAGAATATACTAGACTGGGTCTCCATCTGCAGTCCTTTCAGGGTAACCCTTGACAAGGGCAACGTAATAGCTACCGAGGTTAGAGTATTATTCCCTGTCAGAACTGCCTGGCTAGCGCTAATTTTCAATCCGGTCAAAATCCTTGAGGGGAGAAGGGAGGAATTGACTTCGAGGTCCCTCGCCCGTAAGCACCAATTCCGATCGATCAGCAACACGGGAAAAATTGATCCATGGGTTTGTGATTTTATGACCTGAGTTCGCGGTTGTGTGTACCTGCGTCCTGCGTGTCTAGGTTCCTAGGTGTCTGTGCGAACAACTTTTAGTCTCAATAGACTAGAATCTCCTGATTTGATCGTCTCCACGACATGCAGCTTGGTGAGCGGTGTCCGGTGTTTTCTCTTGCCCTTTTCCCTTTTCTTCTTCTTCTTCTTCCTGTTCTTCGAGAGTTTTTTCTTCCTCTGTTATGGGATGTCAATGGATTGAAGGACGCTACTGGGATCATTAAAAGAAGTACGAAGTAGGTAGACACATAAAATATACATTGTGTTAGTGCCCCCCCAGTTCGGTGCGTAATCGTAGAGTAATTTCTTTTCTATTATCTCTTCTCTTCCTCTCCTTTTTTCCTCTGCTTTTGGCATATTTATAAAGTTATACTATGTCATACTCCGTATATAATTGACCGTCGGCTTCGTAAGGAAAAAAAAAAAAAAAAAAAAAAAGGGAAAGGGAAAGGAAAGGAAAGCTAACGTCCGTCCCCCATTTTTATTTATTTTATTTTTGTGTTTTGGATACTTCTTCTCCATCCTTTCTAACCGTCGAACTATACTAATAATTGTTAGTTCCCTCCCTTAATTCCTCTTATTATTGACATTGTCATTCCCCTCCTCCCCCAGAACATCCATTGACTAACCATTTATCGATCCGCTTCGTTCTTTATCTATTGATTCTAAACCTCCACCATCTTTTTTTTACTGTCCTTCACTCAACTTCTCTCCTATATACCATTTTCCCCTCTGTACGGAGTATTCACTATCACGATCCTTTTACTCGCTAGAGCCACTTCCCCATTATTTCATGCATCTTCTCTTCTGCTGTGATAATTGTTGCTTCGTTTCATATCTTCCAACTTCCAAATTTATGATTCAGTCTTTCCTCGCCGAGTGGCCTTGCCCCTAAAATCTAAATCTAAATCTAAAACACTTCAGAAACCCTTCCACTAGGAGGTGTCATGTCCCGTTGCTCCTGATCCCTAGCCAGCTTTACCTATCTCATCGTTCAATTCACTCTTATTATCTTCTACCATGGTCCTAGCCAGGTCCGGCATATTGCAATTACATGCTTGACTATCAGCTTGTATTTTTCCCCTTCGACCTCGCCAATTAGACTGCGATAACAGTCTACTATGCAAACCTCCAGCTCTGCCCCACGAGCCATGGCGGACTCAGAGCAACCCAATAACAGAGTGTCCAACAATGACGCTCCTGATCATTCAATTCATATCCGCTCTCGATCAACTGTCCACACCCAGAGCCCCAAACGTCTGTCTGTCTTCAGCAGTCGTTCCCGGAGCAATACAACTACTTCCACCACATCATCACGCCGCTCCCCCGCCTCCTCCATGACATCTATGGATGCTGCCTCGCTGCCCTCATCTCAAGATGAACGAACTAATCCGACCGGTGTCCGCTCGGAGCGGCAGGAGAGTATGACCAAATCACTTTTCTCGCGCGGAAGCCGTATCCTTCGTCGCCAGGGAAGTAAATTCAACATCGTTGCCACGCTGGATGAAGAGGATGAATTAGAGCGCGAGAAATCCCGGTTTGAGGTCTCAGACCTATTCAGCCGTCACCACAGGTCGCGGCAGAGCGATGCTCGTAAGCGCACCTTTACGCGAATGGCATAATCTGGTACTCATAGCTGATCTGTTGCAGACGAACAATTGAAAAATCTTATTTCGGATCCCTTTGACTTCCACCACCTAACTCATACAAGTCCATCCCATTTCCAGGCAATGGATAGGGCCCGGGAAAATGACCTGGTCACTGAATTCTCCGCCATCCGTGCCTCTCAAAGACCTGTCACGGGACTTAAGGGTATCCGCGCGGAAGATCTTCATTTTCGTGACTTCTCATCCGAGAACCTCGCCAATTGCGGGACAAGCATTGCAAGGGACCACGCTGTTCCCGCTTCGATTAGCCCTCCTGGGTCGCCAGGAACATCGTCGTCAGCAGCGAGCCCCAAGCAGCAGGATGATAGGCTAAGGAGGGAGTCACGAGTCTGTGAGAACTTTTCTCGGCCATATCCCAGAGTTGGCGCAACTACGCCGCCCGGGTTGGCGGCATCCCCGGAAATATCTGAACCAGCTCCTCGTGCCATTGACGAGATACTGGGTCTGTCGTCCCCAGCCACGTACCCAGAACATGTCTACTCAAACGACGACGACGAATCCCAAGAACGCCGTTTACTCCATATGAACGTTGAAAGCATCTTCCTACCGACCATTGAACAGGACATCATTCCCAACGCTCAAAAAGACACGATTGATATCAGAACTTCGTCTATGTCATTCACCAACATGTCCTCCGATCTTGATGTCCTTCCAGAAGAAGAGGAGGCTACCCATTCAAGGGAAACTTTGGACTCTAGTGTAGAGGAAACAAACTCGCGTTCCCAGTCTCGGCTAAGCTCACCCCCAACTGAGCTGCAGAGCACCTCTGTAGTCAGGCCTAAGTCTAATCTATCCGTATACGTGACTGAAGAATTGTCGAAGAAGGTTGCCGAGGCTCTCGGCTCTCCTACGCTTCCTCAATATCGTCAGCACGGGGCACCGCCGCACGACCAAAGACTAGACGGAATGGTGAAGAGAACAGCGTCCGTTCGTCGAAGAGCAACATATGAGACCATCTATGAGTCTTGGGATGCTGACATTGACTACTGTTATGAGCATGCAGCAGAGTCAAATTGTAACTTCGACTGGGCTCGTAATTCGTTCGATGAACCACAGCAGGACCCAATTGACGTCCCCATCACGAGCTCCCAGGTCGATCCGGTGAATGAGGCCGACAAAATTCACCTGCTCCCGGCCGCGCATTTGAGCACTTCCACAGTTCCTGGATTGGATCTGGAGCCTAGTCCGCCTCCTTCGTTTCCTAGCGCGCAAGTTTCCTTAACTCCGTCCACCGCAAGTTACGAAATTGAGGAAAGCGTCTCTCAGCGGAACAGCGATTATTTCCAGCCAGTCAGTTCTTCAATGTTTCCATCGACCCTGGGAAAACACATGACACATGATACCCTATATGAGGAGTACCTGGCAGGCGATGCTGAATCAGATCGGCACTTCTCCTTCTGCTCTCAAGGGGTGATCCAACCCATGGAGCAGCCTGTCTCTCCCCGCAGTAGTTTCTCTCCGATCAGCAAATGCAACTCTGAAGAGAGCCTAATCTTATCCCGTGCGGCATCAATTGTCCGCAAGCACCGCTCTTCCGTCTCGACTACTAGTGTTCCGGAGCTTGTGCACAGCTTGGCAAATAGCCGAGAGTTATCCACGATGGACCAAGCCACCTTAGGCGATCACTCTCTGCCCTCCGGGCCTGGACAACCAGAGTCGACTTCTTACCATCGTCAAACGAAAAGCCTGGCAAAAGATATCGAGACCCAGGTTGCCTTTCGCGCTGACAGCAGTTTGATCCTTGAATCAGCTGGGCTCATACCAAATCCGGGCCCTGCTATTCAGGATCGCGCAAAATCCTCATCTGAAGTAGAGGCGACCAAGGCTGAAGTCCCTATCAGAGGAACACATCGGCGAAAGGGCAGAGCATCGTACTCGCTCTTTCCATCTCCCGCAACTTCCACTAACGTGCTGTAGTTGCACCATCCCCAGTCCTGAAGCGTAACTTGGACATAATGTTCTTTTCCTTTATCTTGCTCCTTCACACTTTCATACCAATCACCCATAGATCTCCTCAACGACATGATGACTTTTCACTTGTTCTTTCTGCAAATTTCCCTTCTTCATTGTTATCCCTTCCAATATGTCTTTCTGCAATTGTTAGCCGTTCTATACTCATTCTTTTCTCATCTGCGATTTACTCCAGACTTTCGTTTTGCATTTTGAGCGGCTACTTTTTCCACAGGAACGAAAATTTCTGTTAGGTGTTTTTCTGGTATGAAGTATTGGGAAAAGGATCCGAATGGGTTTTGGTTGCATAGCATTCGCTCGAAAGTTCCTCGCTTTGCATCTAGGTCTTTTCAGGCATCATTCTTTCTCTGCGTTTCCTTGTTGCTTGGCAAGTTCATCTTTTGATGAATACGGATATGGTCTTGTTATATAGAGGAGGGCGGTATATTGGTCTGGGTGTTTTCTGTCCAGATTGTGGTGGACAATGAAGAAGCGAAGGCGTCATCTACTAAGCCATTGTGTGTTTCAAGAAGAACTTCGTGTACCTGATTCAATAGGACACTTTATGTCATATCCAAAAGTTACTTGACCAGATAATTGAACCCTGAGTGTATCCCAGCGAACTATAAGCAGAAACTAGTTTCACAAAATGTCGTCACTAATCAACGCTCACCGCCTCACCCTCAGTTCTGCCGCTCTTTCTCTGTCCTACATTCAATAGTTCACTTACATATCACATCATCCATCCATCCCCCATCTAGTATCATGTTCTCCACGGGTTTTTCAGCTGACCAAGATCATATTTCTTTGCGTTGATCTTACTAGGCCCTCGGCTACCCTTCGCTGTAATGTCTTCCTCGTCGCAAGCTTTGGCTAAGCGCCACATCGAAACCAGTCTAATGCCCCCTCCCCCGAAACGCATCAAACGACCTGCTACTGTCCTCGATGAAGACGTCTATACAAATACCTTATCTGACATCATTGCGCGAGACTATTTCCCGGGGCTTCTGGAGGTACAAGTGAAGCAAGAGTACCTCGAAGCACTCGACTCGAGAGACGAAGAATGGATTGCTACGTCTAAGAAAAGACTTAGCGACTTGATGTTGACTCCGGAAAGAGCTCGGAAGCGTCCTGGATCATCGAATTCCATAATAACAAACAACCCTACAGAAGTAAGGCATGCAGAGGATACTCCTACGGGTTGGGGTGGGGATACGCCAATGTCAATCATGTCCATGGCCTCCTCATCAACGGCTCAGCATTTGAAAGATAATAATATTCCGAGCCTGTCCAACCTGGGGCTGCTCGATTTCCAAGCGAAATACACCAGCGAAGATAACGAGTCCTTCAATAAGCTGCTAGATAAGCAAAATACGAAACGTCGAAAAAAATATGCATGGATCTGGAGCGGCAACAAGATCCCGTCCGCGCGACAGATTGCCCATCATCAACGGGAAGCAAAACGGGTTGAGGAACAGGGTCTCAATCCCTATCAGGACAAGCAAATAGTCACTCAGAAGGACCTTGACTCTCGGCCCGCGAAACCGGACTCATGGAAGGCCAGACCGGAGAATTCTCTCATGTTCATGCCCTCGTCTGTTGAGGACACTCTCGAGACGTTCCAGGAGAAAGCAGAAGCGTCCTCACGGGCAGGGCCCAAGCGGGTGGTGTACCATAATACCCGGCTACCAGATGAGGGGCTTCAAGCTGCCCAAGATCGAGGCGCGCTTCCGCCCTCGCCATCGATTTCTGCTATTAAGGATGCTATTGCCGGACATCCCCACCCTACTAATTCAGAGGCGGGCTATAGCGGGAGTGAGACGCCACGAGTGAATGGGTACGCCTTCGTGGATGAAGATGAACCAGATTACCCAAAAAATATCGTGTCAAAAGACAGTCATACGGACTTTTCCAAGGGCCTTCGATTGTTGGGTACAACCGATAAAACCCCAAATCCGTTTCAAATCAAGGAGAACCGAAGGCGCGAAGATCTACACCATCGTATAGTAGACCGCGTTGCCAGAAAGAAACGAGCGGAGAAAGTTACGCAAGAGACTAAATCACCGGTTACCATGACGCCGCGGTTCGCCAGTAGCCCCCGGCTAGACTTTGGATTACGCATGCCTGGCAGAGCAACAGTGGGAGGAGGTGGATCAAGCAAGTTGTTGACTCCAGCGGCACAAAAACTATTACATCGTATGGGGAACACTCCTCGGCCGACGGAGTCGTCTTCATCGAACCTGAAGAATGTGTGGACTCCGACTCCACGGAGAGCCAAATAGATACGAATTGCCTGTTGAAAAGTAATTACATATGATCTCTGGACTAATGGCGCTTCAAAGATACCATGGTGACCGGCGTTGTTTCCTGCTCCTATACCGCTTAGGTTGTGAGAAGATGTTCTAATTTATGATGCTTAGATAGCCATAACCTAAAAAAGTTGTCTCCTTCGCGCCTGATTTATAAATGCTTCCCATTAGAGTTATCCACTCTCTTTCCTGACCTTGAAGATACAATGTCTAGTTGAATATAGACAGTGGCCATACCGAGGGAACCAACTGCAAACAGAAAATTTTATATTGACCAAGGCTATCTGGTTACATGAACATATGACACAATCACTCACGAGTAATAGACAGAAGTTGATCAAAATGACGAGATTCCCATTGAGAAAGGGTTGATGTCCCACACTATACAAGCATGGTACTAGTTCACTAACCGCCAAAAGCCCAATATGAAAGCCAGACAGTTACAAGTGCAAATAAAACCGGCCGCAAAGGATTTATTTTATCTCCGGCGCCCATGAAGTACGCTGCGCCTACCCAACTGCAGGTGACAAGATCGTCAGGACCGCGTTTGCCGTACGTGGAAGTGAGCCATCTGCCCTGTGGGCAGCTAAAATCCAGAGCAGCTGGACAGCTCTTGACGAGGTTATAGCAGGTGTCCTCGCAGGGAAGAATCTCCTTGTAGGGTCCTGGTCGGATCTCTTTGTCAATCAGCGAATTTCGGGACCGATTCGTCGAGACATCCAACCGCAATGTGTGGTCACTGAGCGAGGTTCCATTGATGAACTTCTGTCCAGCGTTTCTGACCTGGAGAAATGTGCCAGTGCTTGAAAAGTCTTCGCACCGAGGGATGGTTACGGCGCATAACCACTGTTTGTATGCTCTGGCACAATCATCGCATCCCACCGCCAAAGAGAACCGAGTCTCATTTGTAGCATTACATTGGATCTGCTCCAGAGAGTAAGAAAAGTTCTTATACAGTGCGGCGGCATTGTCATCGTAAATTGAACGGAGGTCATCTAAGTTGAAAGTAGGATTCGAAGGCACTGCATATGCCACTTCATTGCAAAATGGCAGGTTGTAAAGGAGCGCACAATTGCCATCTTTTTTTGTCAGTAACCTTTACACCCCCGATTACGCCGAAAGGAAATTAATTACCTGCTTTAGTTGAGAAGGTGATTGGTTTCCATAGTTTTCCGCCGCCGCCAATGACGCCGTTTCTAGAAACGGTAGAATTGCCATCCAGTACTAAAATCCCTTCATATGTCGAACTTTGGTTGAGCCCCGTGATATATAACTGCTCCTTGGGTTTATTGCCGGGTCCTCTGCTCGTCATGCTTGCTTTGATGTTACTATCACCTTTGCCTATTTGAGCGAGGCGATCGAGCGCACAGGAGGAATGGTGTAAGCCAGAGATGGCTGTGTCGTTAATGTTATTCGCAAACATTGTGTACGGCGGTGCAATGTCCATCCAATTGTTGTAGCTCTGTGAGCCCTGTTCTGCCTCCGTTAGGTTGCCCGTGGTGAAGAGCGCACTGCGCGTGTCCGAATCCACGAAGTACAGGAAAGCCGAATCGTCCGCAAGGCTGTGGAAAAAAGCGTCAACTGAAGCCGCCAGTTCATAGCTGTAGGACCCAGAATGTTCTGTGCTGTTATGTGCAGTAACACCGATATAAACATTTCCTACTACTTCCACGGCGGCGCCCATATAACCCTCTTCGACCATGTACCTAGTTTGATTCGACCTCTCTTGCCCAGAACCAGGCTTCTGAAGCGATTCAGATGCAGAGACGTAGACCTCTAGATGCGGCAGGTCTCGAGCACTGTCAGAACCGACTTTATTGGAGCTAGGCTTCGAGCATGCTGTCAGAGATATGAAGACGGTTTCCATACGCTTCGATTTGTCGCTAGTTGGTCCCTCAGATGTCTTATTGGTATTCTTACCATTTACAGAATTCTTTGGGAAGTACCACCACTGGGTTTCGCCTAATTTAACTTCGCCCTTTTGGTATTGATTATTGCCTAGTGATGAGACCTCAGTAGGAGCCCTGCGGACAATATCTAGACCTCGCAAATCTCCAGCGTCGTCCACATCGTCTTCAACCACTAGACCATTGTAAGACCCTAATGGGAAGGGGAAATGGGGGTCACCGTCATTAAAGGTCAAGTTACTATGGATTTCAGGAGCCAGAGAGGTGAGATCTGCGGCATGGCCTAAACCTGTGGTCCAAAGAGACAGACAGACTATATGATAAACAATTGCGCTGATGCGTGGAGCAAAACAGCACAACCAAGGTGCGAGCTTAGGTCGCATGGACAACTAGTAAAAATTTGGCTCTGGGTTGTGTAATATAAAAGGAAGAAGAGCAAGGGGAGGCGTCGTGAAGACGAGGCGACGACTTCCTCTCACAGCCGAGGTCTGCCGAGTCGTAAGCGAAAGTTGGGAAAGGTGGCAGGAGCAAACGTCATCCACGAACTAATTCAAGCTCATTCGGAAGTTAAATTTTATATACAAAGTATTTTAGCTTGGCAGTGTTGGGCTCATTCTGGCTTTCGGCATGTATGGAGGCATTCTTTGCGTGTACGCTCCGAGTAGTTGGACTGCGTGCGCCACATCAACCAGCCAGCCACAACAGCCACCTTCGGGGTTCTCGGAAAGCTTAGGAGACCTGTTTTATTCCCAAATTGAATCTAGATATCTATATACGCATGAATACTATTTTTGACAGCCCGTAAGATTTCGAACAGGCAAGGTCAATTTGGATCTTATACAAGCTTATAGCAGCGAGCAGCAATGCCGCTGATAATGACTACTGCTGCGATCACACCGACGATGCCAAAAAACCACGCAAGGCCTTCCTGGCCCTGACCAGGGACTGTGACGTTCATGCCGAAAAGACCACAGATAAGGTTCATAGGAACTAACATGGTTGCAATGAGGGTCACCTTGCTGAGGATCTTGTTGACGTGGTTTCCCAACACTAGGTTTGTGACGTTCAGCTGCGCAAGATAGTTGGTGTGTGATCTGCTGAGCATCTTCTCAAAATGGGCCAAGTTAGACATCATGGTCACTACGTGATCCTGGATATCTCCCAGGTAAAGGCCAATGTCACCACGCGGTGTTACTGAGTACTGCTCGTTGCAGCGTTTAGAGAAACCTCGGATAACATCTGCCTTGCCACCCAAGAGGCGCATCAAGCTCATGACCTTTTTGCGCAAGCCACCAATTCGTGGCAAGAATGACTCGAAATCGTCCATGCGTGCGATGAAGACAAGATCTTCAATCGCCTCAGACTCGACCTCAATTTCGCGGATTACAGGACCAAAGCTATCCACAATGTCGTCACTGCGCCATACATTAGAATTTCACATACAGGCAGCTAGATGGCGGTAAGGTAACATGCATGGGCTTAGAAAGAAGGAAAAGCGGCATAGGGGTGTGCTTACATCATGGCATAGCAAATCCAGTCACTACTAAGTGACACATAGTCACGAAGCTTCCCGATTCTCCTCCGGACATTCGAAGCATGGGGATTCTCCGTAAAAGAAAACGATAACACACCATCGCGGAAGACGACCATGTAAAAGTTGACCGGCTCCATGAAGCGCTCGCTTGTCTTGTCCATCTGGTAGAACGTCCGGAAGCACACAAAATAATATTGCTTGAATAGCTCAACTTTCTCTCGAGCCTCCTGGGTTAAAATATCTTCCGTCGTCAGTGGGTGGATTGAAAAGGCTCTCGAAAGAGCACCAACTTCGGCTTCAGTTGGATTCAAAACATCGAGCCACCAAACACCTCCTTCCGGGCCAAGTTGGAAGAGGTCTCGAAAGGTGTCCCCAGGGAGAACCAAGTCGCCCAGCTCTGCAGCGTGTACAGTACTCTGTGACTCGGAAGAGAAGAAGCCGAACCGAGTCGGCTCATTCTCATTCTTGAGATTCTCGACTAATTCTTTTTCGTTGACAGCATCCGCAAAGACTTCATCGCTGTCTTCCAATTCGTGTCCGGCAAAGTCATCTGATGAGCGCTTTGCGTCATGGATTTCGGATTTCTGGGCATTCGGGCGAAGATCGTAGAAAACACGAGACTTCTTGCTCTGAGAGCTAAGGCTGTACTTGCGCCGCATTGTAACAGGTTTTGTCTTCTGATTAAGAGCCACAAACTCCTCTAACTCTTCATAGTCAATCACCGGAATTCTGCCCAGTTGTTCAAAGGGGGGGATGCATGTATCCTCAGGCGAATCTAATTGGATATCACCAGGTTGAGGTCTAATGGCACTTGCATTACTGAAGGTTGGGCGGCGAGGGTGTGTGCCACCAGACACAGTACGCTGTAGGATAGCTTCCAAGTCTGGTGCTGCATGGCTCTCAAGAGTGTTGGCACGCTCCCGGCGCCGTGGGTCTGCAAAAGCTTCGACTGAATTGGGCGGAGATGTTGATCTAGCTGAAACCGAAGAATCCCTCGACATATTTGCAATATCCTGATGCGTACGGCTAAAGGTACGAGCCTGACGGATATTTCCGGTTGGATCAAGGGAGAAGCGTCGTCCCAACCCATTAACGTCCTTAACTGATCGATCATCGTCTGATATTGCTTGCTCAAAGTCCCGAGAAAATGGCCCCGCTTCTCGAAGAGCATCCTGAACTTGAAGCAGATCTGAACGCTGTGGCATCTCCATACTCAGATTCTGCGGTGTGGTATTCTGCCGACTAAGGGACATATCGGGGGTAGCTTCGATACGGGGTGGACCCAATTGAAACCGATGGTCATCCAGTTCAGGCACTGGCGTGCTGAATCTGCTTAAAAACATGTACTTTTCTGACTTGGGTGATTCAGACATTTTTTGTGACACTGGCCGTCAATCAGAATATACACCAGGTTTGCCAATCTAAAACGTGGCAGTCTGCGGAGACAACAAAGGCGTATTCGCGCGAAATGCCTCAACTGTTATCGATGCCTTCCAATAAGGCGAAGGCGGATGTACAAGTCCCAAGGGCAATTGCTCCTCCGTCCATCAGCCAGACCCCTCGCAAGGGCCTGGCATTACCGACGCGCTGCCGTGTGTCAGCCTCAAACTTTGCTGGAAGACCGGTTATGGGGGTCTGGTATCGCCCCCGCAGAAGACCCTGAACTTAGGGCCCAGAAGAGGGTGGAGGAAAGAGGACTGATAATAGTGAATGCCCGCCAACTTGACTGAGTGGTGCGAAGAGGAGCTCTGCCGCTCCAGATTGGCAGGGAAGTGGTGAGTTGACAGGGTAAGCTCTTAGCAAAGAGTCCTTCAATTCACCGCAAGACTTCCTATCAATAAATTTGACAAACCCAGAGGCTCCGGGATGATTGGCGTTGAAAGAGCGGGTCTATACACTAATGATGATAATAATAATAATAATAATAATAATAATATGATTGAAATAAGAATCGTAAAAAGAGTCCAAAGAAAGGGTAGGACACTAGGAAAGTTTCAAGATCTGATGTTCTGGGATTTGGTGCAGATAGGCTGATGTGTTCACAGATGAGTGGCGGGGTTCGAGACCAAACTCTGATGTCGCAAATAATATGTTGTTCCCAAAAAAAGATATACACGGGTATCGACGGGAGGCCCAACGACAATGTGTTAGGCGATGGATGACAGATCACACGGACAATGGAGAAGAAACAAAAATAAAGAGGAGGGAAGGGAAAAGAGGATGAAAACCTGCAAGAGGTAGTTGGTCACCTACAGAGGTGAATCGAGATGAGCTGTCTCAAGAGACGACAGCAGAAAGGGAACTTGCCGTCTTTAAAAAGAAAGCTGAGGCGTCAAGAGGGAAAAAAAAAAAAAAAAAGGAAAAGAAAAGAGGGGCGCGGGTAGAAATTTCCGCTTGGGGGTAAAAGTCCAGAGCCACCGCACTACGAGTATCTACCCGTATGTACGGAGTTAGTCTGTTACTATTCGGCCACCCTCCGCTGAATTATGTACTAGGTTTGAAATGAAGGTCATTCGTGGTATGATTATAAATAAAATCCAAGGTAGCATTTAATACTATTTGGTGAAGATGGCGCCGTCAGCTAGTATCAGATGTAATTGGAAAAATCAGATATCAGCATCTCCATTTATTGTAATAGATTTTACAAGCGATTTTTGATCGATATGGGAGCCATTTTTAGGCAGCACCCGTACCTAGTGCTGAAGTTTCGCCCCATACTGAAGCGAGCATTTCCAGCGTGTGTGTCGATTGAAGATTATTTGATTGGGGTTTGAAATAGGTATATATATCATTTGATTGGTGTACAATTGTTCTGCATGACGTGCAGCTCATGGGATGGATCGTTAAGTGTTGAATATCGGACACTTCTGATTGGAATCTCCTTGTGTTGGATAATCTAGATCTAGTCTGAAGGGGGATAGTCTTATAGCTTGGCCTTATGCCCAACGGGCATACTAACCGACAGCGTTACCTTCTTCTATTGTCCCGAAATCGGCGAATATTTTTCCTTTGGGCATGCCAAGAAACTGAGTGAAAGAGTCATACTCCTCACCGGTGGCAGATATCTTTCAAATTACATACATATCTAAATACTCAGAAAAGAGCAGTGTTTCAAATTGTGTTGGTATTACAGGTTAAAATCATCTCTTCACTTTGTTGAATAAACCAATTTCCTGTGCAAACCCTTTCGTCCAGCCAAAAGAAAGAAAGAACGAACGAAAGAAAAGAAAAAGACCAGAAACAACTGAGAGGGAGAGTAAGACACACACATACACACACACACACAGAGAGAGAGAGAGAGAGAGAGAGAGAGAGAGAGAGAGAGAGAGAGAGAGACAGAGAGAGAGAGAGACAGAGAGAGCTCCCTCACACTTCTCTTTTTCCCACAATGGCTTCTTCCCCATTCGTTATCAAAACGCCCTGTTCATCTGCCAATATCGGTCCTGGATTTGATGTGATCGGCCTGGCATTGTCGCTCCACCTTGAACTCCATGTCACTATTGATTCCGCCAAAGCCTCACAACATCCTCTGAATTGCGTCGTCACATATGATGATCAAAGCAACAGCGCGGAAGAGATCAGTCTGGATCCGGAGGTGAACTTGATCACCCGTGTAGCTCTGTATGTACTTCGATGCCATGATCAGAGAGCATTCCCTGCGGAGACCCATGTCCATATTGTAAATCCTATTCCTCTGGGTCGGGGTCTCGGTTCGTCTGGTACTGCAGTGGTGGCCGGTGTGATGTTGGGCAACGAAGTAGGCCGCCTCGGATTGAGCAAGGAACGGCTACTGGATTATTGCTTGATGATCGGTAAGTTTGTCATTTAACTTACTATATGGTCCCTTGTGGCTGTTTTGCAAACCGACCCCTCCAATATGAAAAATTGGTTGTCTTATTGCTGTTAGCTTCTCGATTGATTAACTTACTCCTCAACAGAGCGGCACCCGGACAATGTCGCTGCTTCTCTCTTTGGGGGTTTCGTCGGAACTTACTTGAATGAACTCAAGCCTGAAGATATAGCTCGCATAGAGATTCCACTGAGTGAAGTTTTACCCGCCCCGGCGGGGGGTATCGATACTGGCATACGGCCTCCGGAGCCTCCAATTGGTATCGGCCACTATAGGAAGTTTCAGTGGGCCAAGGAGATCAAGGCTATCGCAATTATCCCAGATTTTGTGGTGCCAACCGCCAATGCACGAGGTGTCCTACCCACTGCATATTCAAGAGCCGATGTTGTAAGCTCGCCCTTCCCATTTTCCAGACAAAGCTCCTCAGAACTAATGTATCCGCTATAGGTCTTCAACCTACAACGTGCTGCCTTGCTCCCTGCAGCATTGGGCACATCTCCTCCCGATCCAGATATGATCTATCTAGCCATGCAAGACAAGGTTCATCAGCCATATCGGAAGACCCTTATCCCAGGTCTAACGGAAATACTCCAATCTATGAACCCGAACACGCAGCCGGGTCTGCTTGGAATATGCTTATCGGGAGCAGGGCCAACAATCTTAGCTTTGGCTACGGATAGGTTCACTGAGATTGCAGACCGTATTATTGCTAACTTTGCTTCCAATAATATAACCTGCCAATGGAAGCTCCTTGAGCCTGCCCAGGACGGGGCTACGGTGCATTATTAATATCATTGCATACCTTTCGTCCTATGTGCCCCTAGATAGGGATAATCAGGGGCGAGGAATGAATATTCCGTTTATCATAACCATGGCTACGTTCTGAAGGGGATATCGTCAGAGTGGTTCTTCCCATGGCCGAGTTGGTAAGGGACGGGTGAAGTCAGCTTATTTTTTAACAAAATTACCGACAGGCAGGGTTCTTAGAGAAGTATAAAGAGAAGTTGTGGGTGCTCTGGATTTTTGCCCTTTACTTTACTTTTATTTTACTATATTCCTTCCTTTATACTTTTAGTAGTTCCTCTCCTTCGTTTTCTGGTTCCTCTCAAGAGCATACTGCCCCATTGAAGTGCCCCAAATTGGTCATCTTGGCCAAGGCGGTAAAGGCCGACTTGGACGGTTAATCTCCGCCTCCCCATTTAGCACTCACAGCTCTTTACCTAGGGATTCCAACTGTCATCTTCAGCATTCATAGTTATCATTTGTTTAAGTGTTTAACCATACCTTAGTTATTACTTCTATCCTTGATTCGTTTTTTTTTTTTTTTTTTTCGTTTGGTGGGGGAAAAATACCAAACCAGTTACCAGACAATCTTTCACCATGGATGATGTTCTTGCATCTGTCCAGGATATCTTCGAAGGCCAGATAGTATGTTTGTCACTACCCCCAGTCCGTTCGTATTAGATGATAACCAGGCAACTCTACATGGATAGGACTTCCATGGCCAGCGCATGGCTGAAATATTGTCTACGGCTCTTTTAATTATATCTGGGGTATAGTACTAGCCTATTCCTAATGTTTCTTTCACCAAATATGGTTAGCATTAATAAGATGGACATCATTCGCTTACGCTCGGTCATGTCAAGGTTGTTGCTTTCCTCGCCGGATATATTTACCGGGATATACATCTCACACTCTGGGTCGGCTTGGCAGGTACACTGGTAACTGGACTGGCTGTTATCCCTCCTTGGCCTATGTACAATAAGAGCCCTGAGAAATGGCTCATTCCGTCGGCCGGGAGAGTTGGTGGCGCACAGGTCATGGTAGATGGAACTCAAGTGGCATGAAGTACAAGCATGATTCAGGGGGGATTGACTCGGAAGATATCGAATCGGACACTATTTAACTCTACACAACCAAGAAGCCGCATTTATCATCAGAGTAACCACCGCAAAGGTGCGAAAAACAAACCTGAACGCCATCCAGATCATTTCTTGCCCGCCTCTTGCATATAAAAATCCGTGGCACCATGTAGGTGGAAGCTTCGGCAATCAGAAGATCCTCTATAAAACCGCGTTCACCGGCCGTACTTCTGAAATTCCCAATCTCGGTTATCCAAGGGGCAAACCTGGCGAGTTTTCAGCCAACGGGATATGCAGTGGAAATGGAACGCGTGCTAGAGAAGAGAAAGTTGGGTCAATATTGAGTTTGTCAAAAAGCTTGGGACATCTGGACTCACGTTGCAAATCCCCCAAGCGACTGTACACTCTTCGGTCGTAGATGAACCTTGGTTTGCTTGACATTCGATACCTAAAACACTCATGTTTAGTTTTACTTCTGCTGTAGCGAAGAGCAGAGATCATACACAGGTCCATGATATGATTACGGCAAATGGCACAATTGTCGACAACGATATCCCACGCCCATAAGGCTACCGCATTCCATTTCTTAACTTCGAACTTCTTTTTGCCATCACTCGCACCTTCGGAAGTCTTAGATGCTCCCTTTCCCTTGGCTGAAGCACCAGCCGAAGCTTCTTTCATCTCCACATCCGCCATCTTTGATGCCTGCTTGATTGTCTTGGCTTACTGGGCCTGTTTGTTGCAATAAAGCTGTTGTAAATGTTTAGCAACCCAAGGCAAGAAGGCTTGGAGGGGCATAGATGTATGCTGATTACGTCGTAGCGAAGTAACTTGCGATAACCAGATGTTGCGGTGAGGACGGCTAGCTGACGTATGTAAACTGAATGATTCTGCAGGTTAAGTGGTATGAAATTTTCCCCCTTTTTTTTATACGCACCTTGTATAGGGTTTCAGACAAGATGGCAGAAGAGTGAAAGTGGTCCTTTGAAGTCTTCGTTCCACACAGTACACCTTGTTGGGCTTTTGTTTGGTTTGGTTTGCACCTCAGCTGGACAGAGGCTGAGGCGTGGTACAATACAACTCGCCGCCTAGCTGTTAGTCATAACCGATCCCCGCCTTCGATGCCCCAGCCGCCCTCCCAATGTTCATTTTCACCTACCTCATCACATCACAACATCAACGTCCTGGGACAATGCCCCTCTACTTTTGTTCCACTCTCTCTATTCTTTACCTGTCTAGAAACAAGCATGTCTAGGAGTTCTGGCTTTCTTCTTTCGTTGCTTACCCTTTGATTCCAGTAATAGACATATTCGCGCCTCTTGAACCTATTTGTTATCATTTAAAGACAAATTAGGCTCTTACAGTGCTATCGGCGCTCCATACCTGATATTATTGTCCTTATCCATTACCGGCGTTAACGTGATCAGAACAGACTGCTGGGCAGTGCTGCAGCCTATTCGACCCTATATATTTTGCGCTGTCAATTATTATCATTATCTTCTTACTCTTTCCTATCTTCCTTTTGAGGATACATCATTTCTTTCCCTCTTCTGAGCTTCTCTGCCTAGGCTACCAATTTTTAAGCCAACCAGCCGCAATGTCGAACCTGTCGCCGACCCCTCCAACACCAAAAGGCCCTCGAAACAACCGGCGCAACCCGAAACGAAATGCGACGCCGACTACACAAAGGGCTACTCTGTTAACGACTCCTCCCTCGTCCCCTCCGAGGAACATGAGCCCAGGAGGAACAGCCACTGATTCCTCTGCCAACCTATCGAAGAAGAAGAGTGGCCGGTCCAACAAGAAGCCACGAGATTTATCTAAGATTTCACCGGCGCAGAGGAACGGCCACCGCCACACATATTCGCATTCTAACAATGTCACCACGCCTCAGCTGAAAGATAGCCCTCACTATGCCGGCCCGACATTCCATGCCTCCCCAGCTCCCTCCTCCCTTCCAATCCCGAGCTTTTTCTCAAAGTCAATACCGGGTCCCGATCTTGCCCCGGCAATGGAAGCAGATGGCGACAAATACGACGTTGGACCGGAATATGAGGCGACCCCCTCAAAGCTGAGGCCACGCCCTCAGTTCCAAACCGAAGAACCGCAGTCAACACCCTTAGATTTTCTTTTTAAAGCTGCGGTTGAAGCTAGAAATTCTCAGCCTCAGTGTAGTCCCGAGACAAACATCAGTATTCGCTCCCCACAGACGGACTCCAAGACGCTGCCGCTACGCAAATTCAATGGCTCTACAGAAGGGTTATTGCCGTTGGGGGTAGACTATCCGGTGCCCCATAAGTCGGAGATAGGACCCGCATTTGCTACATCTTACAAAGATCGCATGAATGCATTGCGATCCGCCAGTTCTCCCTCTCAGTCCGTGGTAGAACTTGATGAGGGCCAACGAAGAGCCAAAACTGAGGCCCTGAAGGATCTGTTACTCAATCCACGTCCTCAAAGGCCCTCGTATGTGTCAAAATCATCATCTAGTCAAACTAACGGTGTCAACGAGCAGCCTACCCCCATTTGCAGTGTGCCTCATTTTGCAACTGCACTCAGAACAGCCTCTGGCCCGTCAGCAACTCTTTATAACAACGTGCTCCCCGGGCAGAATCAGTCAACGGTTGGAGATGGATGGCAGTCGCCATTTTCCAATGCATACATTACCAACCCTCAGCCTTATCAAGATCAAACCTCGACCTCAAACAAAGGAGCTCTTTCATCAATCCCAGGGAACACCGTAAACGTCTCAGGAGAGACGTACTCTTCCCCGGTGTACAATCAGACTAAATTCGCCATCGATCCTATACAGGATCCAAATTATCCGCCAGTTCACCAGTCACCTACATCGCGAGTCTCAAACACGTCCACCAAAGCTCTTGACACTAAGAAAATGGAAGACGATCTGCGGAGGATTCTGAAGCTTGATGTGAACCCAGGCCTGCCGTCCAGCGGTATTCAGAGTTCATATGCGTAATGCCACCTTCCTTTTTTTTGCTTTCCTCGTTTATGCTTTCTGGCATTCTGCATGACATTTGTGCATAACAATCGATGCTCCGTTTTTCAAGTTTCATTCCCATGCCGAATGATATCTTGTCTTGAATATTGGGTTTCTTTCGTCTAGTCTAATGTTTCCCGTGGCAGTCTCTCATCATTTATGACCAAGATTCTCCGTGTTCTTCGCGCGGTTCATGCTGGTAGTGGTCATTGCTGTAATTGATAGGTTGATGGGTTCATTGGTCCTTCAGCGAGACGTTTTATACCCTTCGTTGCATCAAATGCGGAGTCCGGTTGCCTTTTTGGTGGACAATCTCGGAGTGTGTTGGTTTGGAGTATTGTTTGGATGACTGATCAGGGACTCCTGATGTCACTCGTTTTGCCGTCTTTAATCTCTCTCTCTCTCTCTCTTTTTTTTTTCTTTTTCCCCTTGTGCTTCTGATGCCACACTTGTCTTTTATCACATTTACGATGTCTAGTCAAGGGATGGCTTTCTCGGCTTAAGCCTTCGTCCATTATATTATTTGGGTTTCTGTTTCCCCGATCTTGCGGTTATATCTCAGTCTCCATGTTTATATGACGCATCTACTCTCGTTCTGAGCACCTATGCATTTACTACCACGAAACTATCCGAACTCCTAATATATCTCGCTATTTAGATCATTAAATGGCACGCTTTATGCTAACCTCATAAAGGCATTGTATTCATTGCAAAACCACTTACAATGTGGGCTTGGAGATGGTCGTACACGCTGAACCCACCGGTAATTGGGTGTATTAAGGATGTACCAGGTACAGATTATCGGAGTACAGGAAAGGAACAGGTGACAGTCCAGAAGACTCGAACATAAGGTCAACAACCTCAAACTGTGCAGAGTAGCGCCGAAGACTAGGCACACTGGTGGTCCCCACTCTGTACGGCAAATCACGACCACAAAACTAAGAATTCCATTACCTTCGTGGAGACTTGCTTGGAGATCCCTCAGGTTTATCCCATGATGTACATATTTATTCCTGGGGTTGAAGACCGGTAACCTGCGGCGACAAAGAGCCCCGACTACGTTCTGCGTCTTGAATGACATGCTGTAGGCGAAAGTTGCCCCAGGGTCAATCCACAGGGGTAAGTATTCCTTTCCTCACCTGGCATTGTGAGAGAATTGTCGATTGGTATTAACTAGAGCGCCACCACTTCAGGTACACCTACTACAACGGAGTAGTATATCTCCATTGCACTGTAGACCCGCCATTGGCTTTTCGAGCCGTCGAATTTGTAACTTGCGGTTGTTCCTGTGGATCGTCGATTGGACGCACACAATACCGTAAGACCAGACCACTGTATGTGTATTCGCTACGGAGTACTATACTAAAAGGTACTGTCTCTGACCACGAATACTTTGAAGTGGGGCAATCCGTAAGATTACCTTGTTGTACCTCCCGCCCTGTTTAAACATATATAATTGGATATTATATTATATAATTACCACTAAGCCAATTAGGTATAGCTAATAAGGGCGGACGGTATAGGCAGATCAATCTTACAGGACGCCCCACTTCAAGATATCCGTAGCCAGAGACAGTACGGAGGTGTGTTCCTAAAGTTATTAAACTACGCTAGTGTATATCACGTGATATTTGGCCAATAAGCATTACTTATATATTCCAAAGAAACATTCTATTGGCCAATGGTCACGTGCCACATGACCCACCTGTTTGATAACTTTAGGAACACACCTCCGTACATATGTACCATACATGAGACCTAATAGGACCTCAACAACCCAATGTGTCTAATATTAGGAAAGTATATCAAACTACTTTATATGGCAGTATTTCAAACCGTGGGTTTCACTTGATGGGAAATGTAGTAAGCATTCCCTGAATTTCATAAGCAATCACGAATGGAACTATAGAAACTTACAGGGTCTACAAGGGTTAGGTGCAAAGTATACATTTATATAATCCGCTGCTAATAGAAACAATTAAACACGTTAGTTTTATTATAAATCAAATCAACTAATCCAACACATACACACACGCCTAGGGGAGAGAAAGATAGAGAGAGAGGGAGAGAATATATATATGCGGGAGTGGGTGAAAGTAAGGCAAATAAGTAAGCTCAATGAGAAAGTGAGAAAATCATACTAGATTCTGCAAGGTCACCGTGATAATAACCAGTGACAGCATACCTTGAAAGTGAGTACCATATATAGCTCAATATATTGACAAGGATGGATTGGATTTGTCCTGCCTGATAACTGGGAAAATTGGAACCGTTCCTGTTAACGAAAAGAATGTTGAGAGATCCATGTACTGGAATGTTATATAGCACAGCACGGTGTATAGGCAACACCTTGTTACCGTGACGGAGTACTATAGCTTTTAGCACATTTGCTTGCTCTTATTGACCATTGACGAGGAAGGAGAAGGCTTCAAAAGCTACTGAATAGCAGCAGAGTTATATATGTGGTAGAGTCTGCTACTACATACAGACAGATATTAGTATGCAGTAGGCACCGAGATCAGCATTGTAAATTAAGGTGCACTAGACTTAAACAATACACCTTAGTAGATACAGAGGCATAATGATGTATTATACGTACATCTATACATAGAGTTATGCCCGTCGGGTATGGAGTACATTGGATACTATGGTTTTGATAATATAAATTACCGCACTACCGTATGTTATGACTGGAAACACTCCATCCCTGGTTCCGGACGGCTTCCCAGGGGTCGAATCGTGGATGCCATTGTCGCGCCAACCCACTAACAACGCTAATCAAGAGGACTTCTCCCAAAGAAAAGAGGAACAAAGGAGGACAGATAAGTACAAGAGGCAGAGGCAGTAAGAGGTGAAACAAGAAATATCACTGTCAATAGCAAGGATTTTCTGTCTTCAGGATAGTTGAGATCGGCCATTCCCCATTATCACAATCCCATCTCTCTCCCTTTACCTCCAAGCCCTCCCTTGGATAGGATTTCTTTTTTTCTTCCCATTTTCTTTCTTCTTTTTCTTTCCTCCCCTCTCCTCTCATTTTTCTTCTCTAACAAAAAGAAGAAGAAGAAGACAAAGAACCTTCTTCTCTGGCATTTGAATCAGCACCCCATACGCCATTTTGAGCCCCCTCTCCAACCTTCCGCGTGGTTATCTACTCTACTCCTACTTTCGGCCCTCGTACCGTCTGCTGGAAACATTCAACATTGTCTCCCTTTCCTCCTACCCCCGTGCCTTGCCCCTTCCTTTACACCCCTAACCACGAACGCAACAATTCTCCAATGATCAGTGTCTGGTACTCATAAATTCTCGGGGAGGAGCAGATTCTTGTCTGAGATCAGTCTGTCCTCGTTTTGCTTAAGTTTTCATCATGGCGAACCCGTGAGTATCTTTGGACTCCCTCAGAGAGAACCCCCACCCTCCCCCCTTCCCCCCCGAGGGTTGTGAGTGAATGCCCGCTTCTGACTCAACAACAGACTTACTTCGGCATGGCGTTCCTTTTGGCATACAATGACTTCTTACGATCGGCATGCATCCCACGACTCTCCTTATCGAACGGGTAAACATGTGCCTCTCAGCCAGAGTCGCCATGAGCCTCTTACATCGATCGCAACAAGTGCCATTGAGTCGCGACCTGACTTGACGGAGACTTACGAGGATGATCAGCTCAAAGGCGCAACGACATCTAACGGCTGGACCGGCTCCCCTACTGGTGTTGGCTCCCCTACTCGTCCTTACTCGCCCGGTATGCGATCCCTCTCCTCCCAGAAGCGACGCTCGACCGACCCCGGAGTAGATGGCGCAGCAGAGATTCAAATGCAAAGTTTCCACGATGGCGCACCGCCACCCCCCCCAGTCACTCATTCATGGAGAAAGATCGAGCGATGGCTGGAGAATAACTACGAGGAGCTTTACGACAATCTTTGCGAAGGCTGTACTCAGAACGATATCAATGAGCTGGAGCATGACTTGGACTGTAGCCTACCGCTGGAAGTTCGGGAATCTTTGATGGCCCACGATGGACAGGAGCGTCCGGGCTTACCCACTGGTGTGATTTTTGGATGTATGCTTCTGGACTGCGAAGAGATAGTCCAGGAATGGAAAAATTGGCGAACTGTCAATGAAGAATTCCTCAGCTCATCCGGCATTATCAATACTACTCCCAAAGCTGCGGCAGGCTCTTCTTCGGCTGTCCCTCCAGCCCCTACTACAGGGTCAAATCCGTTGTGGAGACAGGATCTTCTCGAGCGACAAGACTCTCAGCCCTCCGGTGCCGTTCAGAAAGCGTATGCCCATCCTGCTTGGATTCCTATGGCTCGTGACTGGGGTGGAAATTGTATCGCAATCGATCTGGCACCGGGACCTGCAGGGAAATGGGGCCAAGTCATTATATTTGGTCGGGATTATGACTGCAAATACGTTGTCGCTCGTTCTTGGGCATCTTTCCTCGCAGTTGTGGCTGATGACCTCTGCAGCGGCAAGGTTTCTGTGGATGAAGAGACGAATGAACTCAAGCTATTGGAATTCAAGGCCCAGAATGTTGAACCTCCTTACATGGAAATTCTACGCTGGCGTACAGATCAGAAGTATGGCCGGAGACCACCCCGTCGCAAGGGGCCTAGCGGTCTTGGATTGAATACCGGTAGTAAGTCTGGAAAGGAGTCTCCTTATGGGAGCCCAACCCCTAGTGAAGAACGGGGGAGATCGCCTCACCGCTTCCCCAATCGTGGGTCTACTCAGAGTCCCAAGACGCAGTTTGGTATATCCAGCCCTCTTGCTCGCGTCACGGAAGAGGCTCCAAGTCCTATACACACGAATGTGGATAGCGGCCTGCCAGATAATGTCGTGAAAAGTGATGATACAAAGGAAACACAAAGCGAAGATCTGATGGAAGTGTTGACACATGTGGGTAAAGGGAACGAAGGTGTTCTTGACAAAGGTGCTGAGCAAAAACTGTCGGAGAATGGGATGATACAGAATCAGGAGTCGACTCATGGATCTCCTAGTACTGCCTTGGACGCCGAGATCTTGGGCGAAATGAAAAATGTGGCTATCTAAGTCTGATTCAATACCTTTCTTTAACTTCTTTTTTCATGCTTTCTTTCGCCCCCGTTATGAACATCTTGCTTTTGTCGCTCGGATAAGTAATAAATTCCCTTTTTTCGTCCTGTTTAAACTGCCAAACGCCGATGTCGAACTGATGAATCTTTGTGGAGACCGTGCTGACAGGCTTGTATAAATCCTAACTCTAATATTCTGTGGTTCTGTGGTTCTTGTGACATTCCTCTACGTTATAGAAGCGTCTTACTCTTTTCTTCGCTTGGGATGGTTTCTCGCGATTTGTTTCGCTCGTACTACCTGTAAATTTAGCTCGATATTCGTTCAGAATTTGGCTTTGGTTTTTTTTTTTTTTTTTTTTTTCCTTTTGCGCCATACTTTCCAATGATATAGACACGGGGGATCCGATAAATTATACTTGCACTGATACTAAGGTCATCGTTCAAGGCTTGGCCCTATTTTTCAACACCTTAGAAAAACAGCGTTAGTTCACAACAGGTTTAGTTCTATCTGGCATCAGCCACGGGAAATGAAAATGCCATAGAATCTGTTCATTCCCGTACTTGCCAGCAAGCAAGCTCATACCTATGCAGCTACTGTGATTTTATTATCCGGCCCATTCGGAATGCGGGTTCCAATGCTTAGTGGAAGGCTGTCTAAGTGATCAAGGGCTTGGAGAACCTGAAACCTACAGCCTTTTGTGAGCTGTATGTCCAGCGATCAGTCACAACGAAGCCATGTGTCTCAAGAAGCAGATCCCGGGCCAATATGTTCTAGACTGGAAGCTCCGCGAAGATTGTGGCAATAGAACTCGTGAATATTAGGGTTAAACGGCAGCGATCCCCCTTTTCAATCCCAATCGTCATCATCATCATCCCTGTTGTACCGCGTTCCCCTGCCGCTGATGGCCCTTTTCCCTTGAGTTCGTCGTCTGCCATCGTCCTCATCCTCATCCCCGTGATCTGCATCAGATATATCGGAGTCATCATTATCTCTAATCTTCGCCTGCACTAGAACCCCTTCATATAACAGCCTCTTTTCAAGAGTTGCCGTGCTGAAGCTGTCGGTTCCATCACGCCCGCCCCAAGCAAGACCTTCAAAGCCAACTACACGCACAACAGCAATTCCATCTTTAAACCCGATCACACAAGGGAGAACGCGTATCTTCAGCTTTTTCACCACGAACGGAGTGTCCCTAACATCGGCACGGGCAAAGCGCACGTCGTAATGCTGTGTTGCTAAAGCCCGCATATGTTCGTCCATGGTGCCACAGCGTGCGAAATCGGGGTGTGCAAAATGGATCACACACCGATGGGTATCCGTTGTGAAATTGAGCAATATCCGGTCATTTTCAAGAGTTGGGTATAGGCTATCTTGGGTGATTGTTGTCTGGCCAGGGGCAGGGACCACTGACCGGTTGTTCTGGGCGGATGCGAGCTCGGCGTTGAGTTGTTCGATACGTTGGGCTCGATATGCAGAGTCATCTTCGTTCTCCAAGGCCTTCAACAAATCGTCATCGTCGATCTCATCTTCTTGGTCTCTTACGGAATGTTTAGGCTCAATGTTTCGGCTCATGACGAAACCCGTGGTGGGATTGTAGGAAGAAATTTTCTGCAGGACAACTGCACAGAGCGTTTGATAGAACGAGTTAAGTCTGTAGAGGATAATCGGGAGCTGCTTCTTCACGGAGGGGTCGCGCAGGCTGCTCGGGTTCCGGGGTAAGGTGTAAACCGATGTCGGGGTGAAAGTATCGACTATAGATATTCAAGGTTTGAAAAGGTGAATGAAGATTTCACTCTTCACTGCATTGCAGGAGTGGCAACGTGCTAATTGGATACAGATCAGTGTAAAGATAATTCTCATGGGAGGCAGTTGTAATTCTTGTGTACTGGTATCGAGTTCTACGGATACAGTACCAACTCCCCTTGTATTTAAGTAAACCCAATAGAATAGCTAATGCCCCTTCCCCTTTTGCTTTTATTAACTGTTCTCCTTTCCCTTCTTTCAAATAATAAGAGATCTCAAAAAAGAAAACACACCATTTTGTGCTGCCTGCATAATATGGTAGATATGTGTGCATTAATCCCATACTTACTTCTATCGTTGTATTCTCATGTATAGATACATACATTACATTAAAAATTGCCGCTTCCGGCCCAGTCAAAAGTCCTTCCTTCCATTATTTCTTTCACCTGTCTCCTCAGCTTCGTCTTGCTCTTTCTCTCCCTTTCCCTCCCTCCGTCGAACTGCTTCTCCGTTATCTCTTTTATGACTTGGGTTTGATTCTACTGCCCCCACACTCGTTGTCATTAGTCTCTAGGTACACTAGATAATATCCCTTCTAATCCTCGAAACCTATCTTTGCCTCGCTGCTTCCCGTGTCAACGACTTTACTTCGCAGTTTCAGCCTTACCTCAATTTTAGCACCGGCCTTGTCGCCCTGTTCACCGTTATCGCCATATTCACTCCTACTTCGGGGGTGATCAGTATATGAGAATATGGTGGAAGGCAAGAAGACCGATGATTATGCAATCGAGATGGATAAAATAGATCAGGGGAGCAAGAATTTCGAAGCTGTTGCGCCGCCTCAGCCTAGAAATGCCCCATCCAGTTCGCTCTCCAACAACCCTGTCCTGCCTGTATTGGCGTATTGTGGATCGTCAATCTTGATGACTGTCATGAACAAATATGTTCTTTCAGGGTTGGACTTTAACCTCAACTTCTTTCTCCTCTGCGTTCAGGTATGATACCAAGAAACTGAAGCCACCGCGAACATAGGTTTTAAATACAGACTTGCACTGACTGCCCTTTTTTTCTGTTAACACAGTCCATTGTTTGTATTATTGCGATCCAAACATGCAAATTCTGCGGTCTTATCACGTACCGTGATTTCAGTGCAGATGAAGCAAAGAAGTGTATGTACCTCTAAATTCCCTTGTGACACTTATAGAATAAACTAATGGTGGCGTATAATAAGGGTTCCCTATCAGTTTGCTTCTTATTGGAATGATTTACACTGGCTCCAAAGCGCTTCAGTTCCTCTCTATCCCAGTATACACCATCTTCAAGAACCTAACTATCATCCTGATTGCCTACGGGGAGGTCCTCTGGTTTGGTGGTTCCGTTACCGGCCTTACTTTGTTCTCCTTTGGACTCATGGTACTCAGTTCCATCATTGCCGCATGGGCCGACATTAAGCATGCTGTTGAGAGCAGTGGAGATACGAGTGCCCAAGTCTCAACACTCAATTCTGGATACATATGGATGTTGATAAACTGTCTCTGCACATCGTCATATGTCCTAGGAATGCGCAAGAGGATCAAGTTGACCAATTTTAAGGACTTTGATAGTATGTGTTTATTAACGGTGGTCATTGGAAGTTTTTTTGCTGATTCTCCCCTTAGCCATGTTCTACAACAATTTGTTGTCGATCCCTGTCCTTATTATTCTCACAGGCCTGATGGAAGACTGGTCTTCCGCCAATATCAACCGCAACTTCCCTCCAGCCGACCGTAGCAGCATCATGTTTGCAATGATCCTGTCTGGTTTGTCTTCGGTGTTTATCTCTTACACCTCCGCCTGGTGTGTTCGCGTGACATCCTCAACCACTTATTCTATGGTTGGAGCCCTCAACAAATTGCCCATTGCCCTGTCAGGGTTGATCTTCTTCGATGCTCCGGTAACATTTCCCAGTGTTTCCGCTATTGTTGTGGGTTTCGTTAGTGGGATCGTATATGCGATCGCCAAGATTAAGCAAAATGCCAAACCAAAGACCGGTATCTTACCGACTTCCAACCCACTTGTCAGTGCTAGCAGTCAGAGTATGAGGGATTCTCTGCGGTCTTGAAGTGACAACTGCTTTATTACGAGTAGGAGTGTTAACTCCTTTCGTACGTTTATCATATCGGAACATGTTCTTGGTTCCTTGACGACAAGAGCCAGTACATTACTTGTACGTTATATGCGATACGTGTATTTCCTTCCAGTCTAGGTGTATGTATTCCGGTTGTCGGTGTTCTTTATGAGATAAGTCTGGCTTGGTGTGCTTACATACTTATCGACAAACTGCTTAACATGCCTCGTTTCTAACACGTCTGACCTCATTGCTGCCCATTCACCTATGTATTGCTTTGATGTCCGTGCTGATAATTTCATATATCATTTCTTCTCAATGCGCTGGCGGCGCACTTCGTTGCACGTAACATGTTATAATGTTGGGGCATGGTTTGTTCTAGATCTCTTGGGGGGTGGGAGGCATTGAGTGCGATCTTGGGTGCAATAAGATGCCTAAGAGGCTCGGTTATTGTGTGAGAGAAAAGGCTATCTTTTTTGCCTCCTTTCGGGGTTGGAATTTGTATATATGGACGATTATCTTCTTTTAATGAGGTTATAGAAAGTACCCTTTGCTGAAAGCGTTCTCTAACGACCAGCTCGTGCAATTGACTGACTTTGGCGCAGTAGTGGGATGCTTTTCGGGGACGATGCGACCGGAAGATCTTGGAGGATAACATCACTTCATAATTTTCCGAGCTCGTCTGTTTGGGCTCGTATGTCCTTACGGGCGGGATGTGTAGTCCGGTCGAATATGTGGTTAGGTATGGATGGCCTCGTAGGAGGGAGCCTAGATACTACATGAGAAAACTTGATTAAATGTATTAAGATGCCAGTTGAAGTTACGTGAAGTGCCTACCTTCCTACGAGGCAAGAGACGAGGTTATTTATCTATTCAATCATTCGTACCCTCTCACCTTTTTTATTTTTCTTTCTTTCCTGCAAATCTTTCCTGTAGCCCCCCCCCCTCCTCCCCTGCTCTTCCACCCTCTATATACCAAAATATCTCCTTAGCACACCTCCCAGGGAAGCAGAAGCAGTTTGAATGGGTTGTGCTCACTGCATGTAGATCTCCTTTTGTTCAGAGCCTTCTCGTCTGGCTTGAGGATTAGAATTTCTTGCAATACTTGACCATCTTTGACATTTAGGAGCCCTCAACATTATCATTTATCCGAATATCCGCCCTTTACCGTTCTCTCGTATACTGGGAAACAGTACGATGATAGGTACAATTACTTTATTACAAGAACCTTTTAAGTTATGTGTAGACTTACACTAGCTATCCTCGATGGTCTAACGGTCATGATTTCTGCTTGTCATCTTATGCAAGAACAAGCGCGGGAGACCTGGGTGACTCCCAGTTAGGGAGAGTTAATTGCTTTTTGCCCCTCTGAAGTCGAGGTTTTTACCTGTCTGGCACATACCCCGGGAAGTATTAGATCATTATTGACCGGAAGGGACGGGCCGGCGCTTTGTAAGGTGCTCCTTAGAATCTTCATGAAATCGAAGATCCCCGACCAGATAGCTTCGGTGTTCACTAGCGTCCCATTGGAGCAGATCAAACCAAACGCTTTTTCCTAATTGATGCAGCGCAACTCCAGCTGACTACTATCCATCCCTGCCCGCCGGACTATCTTCTACCTCAGTTTACCTTACAGACTATACGGCATGCCGAAATCGAAGAGAGCACGATGGCATACTGGCCATGGAAGTGGCAACCAAAAAAAACCTCGTAAAATGCACACTTTCTCTAAGCTCTCGAGTACTATTCCTTCATCGTCGTCCTCACCCAAGCATAATGTCGGCAAGAAGAACCCTTTGCATCAACGGCCGATTATTCCCTTTGGGAGAAATGATCGAATTCTGTTAGTTGGAGAAGGTATGATGTTCCTGCTTCCACTCCTGGATTTCCCTGGGGTATTGTCATCATTTCGTACAACCATGTAGTGCTTATACATCCACAACTAATGGTCTGCGTAGGTGACTTCTCTTTTGCCCGCTCTTTAGTTGACCAACATTGCTGCAAGAATGTCTTGGCTACAAGCTACGATTCTAGGGAAGTATTATACAGCAAGTATCCCCAAGCCGAACATAATGTTCGCGAAATCCTCAGTGGCGCCTCCAATAGGAAAGACCATAGTCCGGACTCAAGTATCGTCACCGAACTAAGGAGCCAAATCCAATGTCAAAATCAGGAATACTATCGCGACAATGATTATGAGAGACACAGGGAAGGAGAAAAGAAAGGGCTAGATCAAGACAAACCAAGGCAACGTCGCCGGCCCAACGTCCTTTTTTCAGTCGACGCTCGAAAACTTGGCCACGCTTCTGGGGGGGGGAAAGACGTACGCTTCGGACTCCCTCGCCGGGAACGTAAATGCCCTGCATGGCAGGAGGCCAAGAAGAGCAGCGGCACTTCAATCCTCCCCTCAACCAAAGGTGGACCATGGGACATTATTTGCTTCAATTTTCCCCATGTTGGAGGCTTGTCTACCAATGTAAATCGGCAAGTTCGTGCCAACCAGGAACTTCTGGTTTCCTTCTTCAAAGCTTGCGTGCCGCTGCTGTCGTCTCGTCCCGAAATGAGTGACAATGTAAACGAGGAAGGGTGGGACTTCAGTACCGAAAGTGGATCTGACTTAGATGAGGAGGATAACGCTGGTATGCTGGGCTCGCGAAATGACATGGCGCAAGAGAACAGAATTCGGAACGAACCTGGGCAGATCATAGTCACACTATTCGAAAGAGAGCCCTACACCCTTTGGAACATCAAGGATCTTGCGCGCCATGCTGGTCTAAGGGTTGTTACTAGCTTTAGGTTTCCGTGGGCATCCTACAGAGGGTACTCTCATGCTCGGACCTTGGGCGAAATTGAAGCGAAAAACGGAGGAAGGGGTGGTTGGAGAGGGGAAGATAGGGAGGCTAGAATGTACGTGTTTGAGCTAAAGGAAGAGCGCATAGTGCCTACGATGGATATCCAATCCTCCAAGAGGGATAAAACTTCGAGGAATAAAAGATCAAGAGCATTGACTAGTGATGATAGTGACTGAGAGGCTAGAGAAACTGCAATTTCTTATTCCGTCGTGAAATAAGAGCGAATGGAAGAAAAGGGATGACTACATGATGTAAACCTTTTTTAGTTCGTTTTCCTCAAAAACTTCGCCGGTTGTGGGGTCCTTGATTTTGCCGACTTCAACGCAACCAACTTTCTTGCTCATTTCTAACAATCGCTGTTGGCCATAAATTCGACCATTTGGTAGAACAATCGGGTCGCTCTCAACATAACTTTTGGTATGGTGGGCGTAGGGCATGTTGCGCGCAAGCTCATGTAACTCAGTTGAGCATATGGGACAGACTGACGTCGTAGTAGACAGAGAATTAGAGCTTGAAGACGTATAAGCCGAATGGCAAGATGGTGTCTTGAGAGCTGATAGCCCGGCAGACAGAGCAATATGCAGTAAGGGGCGCGATGGCAGTGACAGGAGTTCATGGTGAGTGCGAACAAAAAGGTCAGAAAGGTAACACCACCGATCAGGCGCATACATCGACTGCTCATACATTGTTAGAGTCTATGAAGAAACTGATCAAGGTAATTATGAAATAATACCTTATACGGCTCGGCGATCGTGTCCCGGGGGAAAGCTAAAAGGCCTGCCGCCCGATGAATTTCTGTTGACTGTGACTCGATGTAAGGGCTAAGGAATCTTTTTGCGTGTACCATAGCTTCAACAAGCTTCCCTTTGTCCCCAGTCCTCACCATTTCGATATATTGCTGCAAACGTAATTCAAACTCCAAATTGTGCTGCAATAGAATATCAGTCATTCAGTTCGCAATTCATACGAACCCGGACACAAACCTGGCTCTTTTTTAGCGCTGCTTTGTTTTCACTGCACCATTGCAGAGCGTCCTTAGATTCCCCACGACGCAAGCTTTCAGCAACCCGCTGACATTGGATGAAAACGTTGAGATCTACGAGATCCTCGATATCCTTCTCATGGGCCAATTGCCGGGCACTTTCCGTATAGCCCGATCGCAGCATATAGTCTGCCACAAGTCTATCTAAACGGACCCTCGACCACTGATCATACTTAACATCTGCCAAACTATGTATCTGGTGAAGGTTTTCCAGATGCTGTATACGCTTTTTTGACTGGCCATGGATCTTTCTCTCTTCCTGATGCAAGCTTTCCATTTTCCGCTTCAGGCTTTGCATCCTGGATATCATAGCATCCAAAGCAGCGAGCGTTTGATCCGGTGTTTGACCATTGCACAGCGAGACACTGGCAGTTGCCTTCAGCGAGGGGAGAATGTACTCTCTTTCCCGTTCGACAATCCGCTGAACTGATTTGAAATTCTTTCGTGCAAGTTCATGAGGTAGTCGTAGGAGGGGTTGGTCCTACGAGTGAGAAGGAGTTAATATATAATTTGAACCTGAACCTGAACCTGATGATATTGGGCAGGCATTACCAATAACAAATGATTCTCCGCGTTTAGCTTTGTTGACGTGAGCTCCGAAGCCATGATTATCGCGGATTTCTTAAGTATATGACCTTTCACTGACACGCGGAATGGGATAAAAAGGAGTAGAAGATAAGATATCAATCAACAGTACGTGTAACGTGGACCTGGGTAGGAGGGGGGATAGAAGTGGCACGTACATGGGAGACCCGGGACTAAGGTCACGATACCTCGGTCAGCCATTTAACCAATCAGCGTTTAGACATCCTACATACCAACAAGACCTACGAATAGGTACCAGCTTGTTAGTTATACTCTCATGATGCCTTACTTCTTTTTCTTTTCTTTTTCTTTTTTCTTTTCTTTTTCTTTTTTCTTTTCTTTTTCTTTCCTTTTTTAAGACAAGGAACAAGAAAGACCTTGGAACACTTTCCCTCACTGAGTGAAACCATTATTCAATAGCAAAACACTATAAAACAAAACAATTGATGTTGATTTCCCTTCTCAACCCAAGACTCCGATAAAAGAAAAACACGTACGGTACAGGAAATATACCCAAATGATGCTCCGATAGGGATTTAGAGACAAGTGAAGTAGTGAAGTTAGACTCCCCATACGAAAAGGCTTCGCCATCGGAGGCAACCAAGGGACTTCCTAGGAAGCCTTAATCGCTGTCATCACTGTCCTCTTTCTCTTGCTTGGACTTTCGTCGCTCTTTCTTCTCCTTCTTCTCCTTCTTCTTGCGCTTGCGTTCAGCTCGCTCCTCGGGAGTCTCTCCCTCATGTCGCTTACGTTTCTTTTTCTCGTCGTCCTTGGACTCATCAACCTCCATCTCATTTTGGGGCGACGAGGGAGCTTCGGCCTGCTCAGATGTAAGAGCAGCCACCTCGCTCTTAGGCGTTGGCTTAACTGCCAATTGCTCGGAGGCTTCCTCTGGCACGCTATAATCCTTATAATCATTCTTCCACTTAGAAGGCGTCGCTTCATTGGCTCGACCATACTTCTACATCAGATTGTCAGTGGCAACTCAAAACACAAAGCAAAATGAAGGGGCAGAAATGGATAAGCGTACATCTAGTTTTCCAGCCGACTTAAGCTTCTTCTTCTCCAAGGCAACAGGGCCCAGGCCCCATCTCCGTGGGTAAAGATCGCGTTCCATGATGCAACGCTTTACCTTGGCAACAACTCCGTGGTCGCAAGTAGACAGCTCCACGGTCGACATTTGAGCAATAGCAATGGCAATGGCCTCACCCTTGGTAGTCATGAGCACAACTTCTTCGTTGACATCAATTCCAGCCTCTATTTCACATTAATCATTTATATCCTGGGAAGTCATATGGCACCATATGAACGCGGTAAGAAAAGATAAAACATACCGAATCTCAGAAGACCGGGGATCATGAGCTTGGCACCGTAACATACGGCATTTACAGCGCTGTCCTTAACGACAATACGCTTGTAAGTTGTGAGCAGGGTCTCAAGAGGCTTGATGACTTTACGCAGATACGACTCATCCCGCTGGTTGTCATACATCCACTGAGCGTCAAGCACATCGTGCAAAGTCACCAGACCACTGTTCTCATCCATAGCTCCACTTCTTACACGTCTGAGCTCTTGCATATGCGCTCCAACACCGAGCAAGAGGCCCAAGTGAACACAAAGAGTCCGGATGTATGTTCCTGCCTCGCAGCTGACCCAAAAGACACCAAGATGTCGATCATTGTCGAATTCGTAGAGTTTGCTCTCGTGGATCGTCCGGATACGGAGTTGACGCTTGACAGCAGAGATCAATGGCGGTCTCTGGAAAAGTGCACCGGTCAACGTCTCAAGGGCTCTTCTGAACTGAGCCTCACCACCCGGGATCTTGTCGTGGAGGCGGATCACGCAGACGTATTCTTTTCCAGCACCCTGCTGCGATTTGACCAGACGAGTGGCACGGTCAATGCAAACAATTAAACAACCGGTGACCTTTGGGTCAAGAGTTCCGCTGTGTCCAGTTTTTTCTGCCCTGATAAAGTATAAAAACAATTGATTTAGCAACTTGTCATTTGATTTAATCTTTGTGGTATTACCTCAAAATCCTCTTCATCCAAGCAACCACTTCATGACTGGATGGGTTAGAAGGCTTGTCGAGGTTAATCACGCCAGAATTGATATACGACTTCAAGTCACGTTTCAGAGGAGAACAACCGGCGGGAATTGGCGTAAAATGACCAGTCCTGACGAGGACTGTAAAAGTGCAATTAGTTGAAGCTACTCACTAGAGCAATATATGAACTCCTCCAAGTCACAATACCAATGAGCTCGGCGAGAATACAGGTAGGATGCGAACGTACGTTTGTCATAATTTTTCAGTAAAAGCGGCCAGTCAGATGTGGAGATGTTGGAGGTGCCAGACTCTGGCTTGATTGTGTAGTCCATCTCTTCCTTAGCCAATGCGACTGCCATTTTGAACAGGCTTGCTCAGAGCATGCAGAGTAGCCAGGTATGAGTGCGCGCAGGTTGGAAAAGAACGCAGGAAAAATTGCACCTGCCGAGCTAAAGTTTTGGGGGCGCTAGCGAGAAAGCAGTAATGGGAAATTTTGAAGTGCGGCGACCGGTCTAACGACAAAACAAGCTAGCGCAAAATTCCTTACCAATTGAATAGACATCCCGTGACTTGAACAGCAACCGATCCACAACTACGAAAAAACTCTGAAATCCTTGTTGCAATCGACGTTCGCTGCCGATTTGGGTATTTTGTTTAATTATAGTGTTCCTAAAGACTAAAACTATAGAGCTTATACCTCGGCGTCGAGACTATCATTGTCAAATCATTGTACATGACGGCCGTTTTAGCTGCCGCCCAGTCTTCTGCCTGGTCCTCTACTGCTCCAGGGGCTTTGAAAAGAGCCCCGGCCCTGGGATGGATTTTGTTCTTCAGGGATCGGACGATAAGCTGTTCCATAGGCCCGGTGCTGACTGGGGGGCATATGGCCGCTAAAGATTCTCCGCACAACAGCCGGCGTGACAATGTAGTTCCTACCACCTCCGAAAGTCGGATATATGCGTGAGAAGAAATCATACATGTGTGCCGCGACTATTCCCATGCTCTCACTGAATGCTGCATGCCACCCACTAAGCACAAGCGTCCAGGTGAGCATCGCCCATGGTAGGAATTCAACAGGCAGTTGGACCACGAAAAAAGAGGCTTTTCTACCTTGGTTGTCTTGGGCGAACGTGTAGACAAATGCGATGATTAAAGCTACCGAGGGTTAGTAGGTAAATTATGCTGGATGCTGCAGCGACCTCACCATGGGTGAAAATTACATCATCTAACAGGCAACCTGCGGCGAGCTTCAACTTGTCAGCACAGGTGAAAGGCTACTTGCGAAGTGAACAGATATAAGCATATTTGTTTTGCTAAAACATAAAATAGGAATCTGATATGTAGGGCACCATAACCACCTACGTGAACAGAATGTAATCACGTAGGTTATCTCAAAGGCTGTCCCACCATACCTGCATCGCATGCAGCCCTAAATGATAATGCGAATGTGGTACTGTATGAGATGCAGGGGCAATCTTCCTCACTTCCAGGAACCGCTTCAGCTAGATCAAGGCTGGGCGGGCAGATATGCGAGGTTAAAAAGGCAACAGTTGGCGCCAGAAAAGGGAGTGTTGCCAAGGCACTAATAAACAAAGCTGTCCCATAACTTACCGTAATAACAGTGGCTACAAAGAACACGTACGTGAAGAAGTCACCCGGTGAACTAAACCGTGGTGATGCCGTCTCCAAAGCACTGCCATACTTGAACACTACTATATGTTAGTGCCGCGGTTAGACTAGGCCATCACAGATTCATACTGAAGTAGAGATCAAGTATAAAGTCAAGGCGAGGCCCTGTCAGAAAGAATGACGAGAACAACCTCCATGCCTCAGGAAGCAGCTTGAAGACTAGTCCCGGACGGAATATAATGTATCTACCACTTAGTAGACCACCATAAACCAAAGCAGACTGAACGAAAGTAAGGGCAGTTAGGCTCCTGGTATTTCAAAGTCAGTCATTTAATTATGAAAATGGCAGCTTGACAATGATGTGAATTGAGTACCTTGTCACAGGCGGCGCAGACCAAAAACGATCCATTGCATCTATGTGAGTGTAAAGGATTAAAATGTTAAGATGAATCAAAAATTCAGGTAAGAAACAAGACACATTGCAAACATCATGCAGTGCCTAACTTAGATCACCTTAGTTGTTCGAAAATAAAGGAAGGGAGAAGGAATATGTTGTGGGAGACAAAATATAAAAGGTGTCTAGCCACTAGTGCAATTCTTGCGGCAGTACCTTTTTCCGGCGTGGATCAGAGAAACCTTTTTAACTTACGGGAGTCCTCTGTACAGAGTACGACAATATCGTACTTTACACGAGTTTTCTGTATTTACGGAGTATGGTATGGATATTAGCGTGTCTTCCAGAATCAGGCTTTTCAATTGGTCTAAATATAATACCCCCTACCTTCCTGCCATAATTATTTCTCATCTATGATATAAATATTTCATCTTCTGCAGTTAAATACAAAATTATTACATATTAAGATGTTTCTAATAGGTATGTATATATTAAATAATTTACTAACACTTGTTTTACTAAAACATGGCTATCCAAATAAAAATTATGATATCTTCTGGGGAGTGTTATCTGGACCTCACGCTAATCCTGAATAGGTAATAATTACAGTGTGTAATTGTAATATCATATGTTCAACTCTTTTCTTCTTATCAAGATCTTTATAGTTATTTTTATTTAAAAATATTTTTATAATATAATAAAGTGTTACGCCCGGGGCATCGTTGTTGTTGTGGCTTTCATGTATTCTGCCGGAAAGCGGTGAATAAAGCGGTGCGGCTACCGCTTATCGGTGGCTGAGAGCCCTTATCAATAAAGACAACTTCTCTACAATACTCTCGGTGCTACTAGGCACAACAGTTCTCAAGTCTGAGACCAGTTAGCGGACCACGCGGGTCGACAATGGATTGCGGTCTTGGCAGGACAGGAGTCGATACTAGACTGCCGTCGTCACAGGGTTGCAGTCGACACAAGACTGCAGTCGATACTAGACTCGAGTCCAAAGGGCTAGGCCTATTGAGTACGTTTACCCAATAGTTAGAAGAGTACGAACGAGTTGAGACTGGTCTTGTTACTAAAGATAACTCTGTAGTATCAATATAGAATTGATCACGAAGAACTAAACTAAGTACATGAATGAGTGTCCTTATATATCCTTGAGCCTTTCTGTCTGGTATTGCCCTTGGTATACCGTTGGTAGTGAACTGGTATAGTTTTGCGATCAAGTCCGTATACTTCCCGTGTATTAAGTCACGTGAGTTCCTTGTGTGGCTGGTTTTGGCGTCCATGGCTTCCTTTGGTGAATAACGTAAAGAGTAATCCTTCGGGTGCTAGCCGTCCCATAACCGGCTATTGTCATCCTATGATATTCTGCCTTGTGTGTCCGCCTTCGATAAGATACGCTAGACAAGGGTCTGTAACATAAAGCTCTTATATAGAATACTTTAGATATCTTAATAAAATCTTTATAGGTGTTCTAATATTGTATTAAAGAATCCTTCTTTTCTTGCTATAATTTCAGTGTACTATATAATTCTGTCTTAACAGAAAAAGTTTAAAGGTCTTATACTCAGAAAATGGGCAAATATTGTGTATTATTATTACACTGCGTATTTTTGGCCTATTATAGTTTAGCGTGAGGTCCAAATAACAATTCCCCTTCTATATAATAGTAATATTGATGCGGTGAGCTTAATCTACTACGCATTTAGCCGGATGAAGGACATTAGTAGAATGATCACATTGCCAGAAAAAAGGAATATACTCCGGAGGCGATATTGTACTGTATGCTGTATTTACCCAAATACGCAACCTCTGTTCTTAGAACCACATCGCAGGGTAGACCGTTTTTGAGACCTAGTCTTGACCATTGTACTGTATGAAGTCTCGCATCCATGATGACTTCCCATAGCTTCTATAAATAATTTGACGATGAATAAATGGTTTGAGCTGCATAGTTGTGGAAGTAATTAAGGTCATAGCATGACGGCCGAACTTCTATACCAGCGCTTTGCTCCATCTCGCGGTTTTACATCTGCTGGAAACATGAATATATAATGCCTTACCCAATGGGCTGCACGTTAGCTTGTGCCGAGAAGCTTTATATCGGCAGAGTGCTAGTGGTGATCCAAAGACGCGAAGCCCATTCCCTACCCTGGGCCTGTAAACGCAGTACCGCGTACTGCCAGGCCTCCGTTCTTTCCTTCAATCCATAGATCCCATACATCGTCCTTTCCAGACTTTGGCTTGCCACAAATGGTTAGAGGCTCATCAACATAAAGAGGAGCCACATTTCGATAGTCAAATGCTGTGATGATTTGGTCTGATTTGGCGAGATGTGCTTCAAGGACAGTGAGCAACAGTGTCAGAGTCAACGGTCCATGCACAAGAAGGTTCCGGAAACCTTCTACATTCCGAGTATAAGCCTCGTCCAGGTGAATGGAATGAGCATTGAATGTGAGAGCAGAGAAGCGAAACAGTAATGATTTTGTCGGCTTGACTTTAAGGCGATATTCGGGGCTAGGAGGTGCTTGAAATAAACAAAAAAAAAAAAAAGGCGTCAGCATGTACTTTTTGGGCGCGTTGGATCAACTTGCGCACGTTTTATAACTCTCTGACAGGTATCAAAATTCATCTTGTCATAATTCAGTTCACCTTGTGTTTTTTTCCGCATAAAAACCAGATTCCTACTTTCAATGACCGCAGCATGCCCAATTTCGTCTTCGGTATCCTTCCATATCCGCTCTCTGATACTGCCCTCCTCTTCCCCCTCCTGTACCACGGCCATTCGCCTCTCTATTTTAACCATCACTTTCTCTGCCCCTTCACGTCCTTTGACCATCACGTCACGAATTGTTTCGATACAGACAGCTCGGGCGCCGTTGAGAATCAGACCTCTTGTGACAGGAAATCTGACACTTCCACCAGCCCATAGACGCCTCTCAAAAGGTCCACCGGGACTATGTAAGACATCAGTGCCATCTGGTAGTAACTGTGATAGCGTAACCTGCGGAGGAAAATAAGCCAAATGATGGCCAGCCGGCATACGAAATGCACGGGTGACTGAGGGGAGAGCCGTATGAACACACGACGATACAAGAGTCCCCGGAAGAAGGTCAGCTAATGTCAAGCTCAGGAGATGGGAAGGCTGGGTATGTAGATAATCAAAGTTCAAAGGCAGTATCCGTGATGTTAATTCGCGATGCAGTCGATCGCAGAGTGACGAGTATGTCCGCAATGCGATTGCTGATCTTCTTCCCCCCAGTGGGAGTAAGACGTTCCTCTTCATTTAGATAATCAGGCTGGTATAACAGGGGCTTCTTCTGGGTTTTAGCAGCAATAGGAATAGAGATGGCATGGGGCCGTTACAATGTGATTGAAGAAACTCGCTAACTAAACCTCAAGAACCAATAGCCGTCTCTTAGGTCAGCAGACCCACCACGCACTTCGGCGTGTTGGTCTGCCTCACCTCAACGATAATTCCCACCTCAACAATAAATTTGAAGCTATTCAGAGCTTTTATTTACTATTACTATATCTAATACTTATTCTGATATAGAGATACAAATCTCTCAGGCCTGTAAAACTGCTCAAGGCCAAAAAAAAATCAAATATATCTGCGCTAGTATATAAATTTGATATTCCCTATTAATAACTCAGAGTGTGTATTTAGGACCGAGCTACTTGAAGTTTATACCCTATCTTAACCAGAACCTTTGATAATTTACAAGAGAAGATATTGATTTATTAGATTTGTCAGTTTAATAATCTATATTATCTATCTACAGCTGGAATAATTGAGCAGAGTGCTAATCAAATACTACAACAGAATACAATAGACAGACTATCTTGTACAGTTGACAAGAACTGAGTCTATCGCTTTATTAAATGTCTCCCAGACAATTTTAAGCTTATTCAATAGAAGCCAAAAGATAGAAATTGTCTCGATATAGAGGATATAGGTATTCTTCAGCACTGGTTTGACTGCCTAGAGCCCTTTATTAAGTAGATTTCTCCCAAAAATATATATAACTTTGATAAAACCGGCTTCCAACTGGGACAGGGAAAGTCTCAAAAAGTTATAACTACTATGTCTATACAAGCTACAAGAGAAAATCTATCTAAAGAAATAGAGAAACTGATCTCTACAATAGAGTATATTGCAGTAGATAGTTTTATTCTTCCTCTATACTTTATATTCAAAGGTGTATACTATCTGGAGAGATGGTACAATACAGATATTTCTAATAAATATTGAATAGCTCTATCTTCTAAAGACTATACTTCAGATAAAATTGGTCTTGACTGGATCCAACACTTCTACTATTATATAAAATATTGTATCTCTAAAAATAAGGTCCGATTACTACTTTTTAATAGCCACGAGTCCTATCTTACCTACGAATTTCTTTAGTTCTGTGGACAATACTATATTATACCTTATTGTTTTTCTTCTTATATAATACATCTTGTACAGTCTCTTGATAGATAACCTTTTCAAGCCTATAAGTACTTTTATTGTAAGCTGTCAGCTGCCCTAATCCTAAAGCGGAATAGTCTTAGGGCTGGCTTTAGAAGATATAGAAATAGAATGATAATATAGATTGAATAACTAGATAAGATAGAATAGACTTGAAGAGATCAAAAGAATGAATAGGAAATCTGACTATCTGATAATCAGATAGTTGGTTGATGATCTGCTTAAATCAAAAAGATCATTTAGTAGATACTTTTAGGCCTTATTTATAGACAATTTTTAAGCCTTGCTTTTGGTGAATGATTTCAAATCAATATAGAATTAGTGAATTTGTTATCATGACTTTTTATTGTTTTTTATTGTTTTTTATTAATTTTTTGGAATTCTTTTTTAGTCATGAATCATAGATTCCTTCTAGACCCTGATTGAAAATAAGATTTCAATCTAGTCTAAAATAGGCAATACTATAGAAGTTTTCTAGAATACTTCCTAAATAGGAAATATTCTTTCAATTTTATTCAGTATTACCTAATAAGGAAATATTCTAGAAGAAATCTAGAAAATTTCCTAAATAGGAAATTTCACTCCGACATAAGCAAAGCAATAAGCTTGCTTCAAGGGGTACTGAGATAGACAATAAAAGTAATTTCTTAAATATATTTATTCTATTTGTATAACAACTTTCAAACAACATACAATACGGTATACCTTTGAGAAGCGAGGTATATATTCTTTGAATTTAGAGAAGATAATAAAATCTCTATATAAGGTTTTAGAGACTGCTCTAGAACTTGAGATAATTATAATACTATTATCACCACTGTTAAACTTATCGCTGCCATCTACAATATAAGATCTTTGCCGAAGTATTAGTAAAGTATAGAGCTTTATTGATAACAATCCAGAGCTTGATCAGAGCTTTATATAATATCTTGACCGTGTATTCCAGAGCTTACTAGAAGCTACTGAACTAGTTGCTCAGCTTAAAGACAATCTACAACAGTATTTTCAACTCCTGAAGTCTTAAAATAGGCGGAAATCAAAAAGGAGAGTCCGATACAATGGGCTATTAACTGTATTTGATATAAAACGCCGAATTGCCGATTGTACAGAGGTGGAAAGACTACAGAGTCTTAGGTAGGTTGGAAAAGCAGGAAGTTTAGAGCATGATAAACTACTATAACAGGGAGATATAGGGGATCTGCCTAGTAAAAAGGCTAGTCAGGCGGATAAGGAAGGTCCTAGATTACCATTTGGGATAGATACTCAAGGCGATGTTGTATAGGAGTTTGAATAGCTTCAAATTTATTGTTGAGGTGGGAATTATCGTTGAGGTGAGGCAGACCAACACGCCGAAGTGCGTGGTGGGTCTGCTGACCTAAGAGACGGCTACTGCGTATGTTGTTTGATTTGTTTGTTTCAAATAGACTTCCCACATACACCATGCGGTCGGAGATGTCTAGTAAAGCATGTACAGCGGAATTCCTCACTCTCTCTTTGGTCCCGTAAATTCCAACGGCTATGGAGCATATTACTGTAACATTCCTGGGCCCTGCTGCATCCTTTTCACACCAGGTCAGGACACTATGCCCAAACCAATATCAGATCATTAATCCGAATTCTAGGCTGCTGTTGAATTCTTTGGGAAGTCTGCTGAATTGCTACCTTGTGTATCATTCACGGATGCTTTCACCGCAGTGCAACAGGGTGAAGCAGATTATGCTATCATCCCTTGCGAAAATTCAACTAATGGCTCAGTCGTTCAGACTCTTGACCTCCTGGCAGATCCCAATGACCTTTACAAGGACGTCGAGGTATGCGGCGTGCATTATTTGACAGTGCACCATTGCCTCTTGGCCCGAAGAGGTGTATTTTCTAGTCAACAGGATTATGGTTCTGTAGCTAAGCTTTATACCCACCCGCAAGCTTGGGGCCAATGTGAGAGATTCCTTGGAAAATACTTTAGAGGCATTGAAAGGCAGGATGCCTCATCAACTTCCAAGGCTGGGGAGATTGTTTCAAAAGCAAAAACAGAACAAAGCGCTGCAATAGCTAGCCGCTTTGCTGCCGAGTTCCACGGCCTGGATGTTTTAGAAGAGAATATCGAAGACAAAACCGATAATACAACACGCTTCCTCGTGCTAAGGAACAAGAACTCAGGCCGTACAGGGCCGCGCCCTTTCGGAGACTTGAATAACCGCCGCGTGCAAGGAGCATCTGCATCAACAACAAGGAAGACCTTGATATCATTCATGGTTTGTCAATATGCCCCTGGGGCCCTGGCGGAGGCTCTGTTAATATTCAAACGCCATGGCATGAACCTTACAAGCATCAACTCCCGGCCAAGTCAGAAGAATAATTGGCAGTATGTCTTCCTGGTTGAGTGCCAGATAGCCAATAATCTAGAGGATAAAGGCGTGGGCATTGAGATTCTGGGTCATTTGCAGAGTGTTACCGAGACTTGTAGACATTTGGGAACATGGTCTGAGTGATTATGAATGGTGTGCATTTAGTTGATAATAGCAAGTGCAAACTTGTGAACTCATGGGTAAAGGCCAGAGAAAAGCAACTGCCCAGAATCTATTTAAGTGGATGTACAGTACCAAATATATACGCAAATACAGCAAACCAATCTAAGAACACAGATAAATCCCTCCTTTTTCTCTCTGTTTTCCTTCTCTTCCTCCTTTCTTTATCCTTCTTTTTACCTCATCTTCCCTTTTTACTTTGTTCCCTTTTTTTTGTTTTTTGTTTTTTTTTTTTTTTTTT